TAGACGAAATCTCTCTTCCCCCAGCCTGGAGACCGGCTTCGGCTCTGTATCTTGCACCAGCGTCATGGCTGCATGTGATGTCGGGGTCAGCAAGTGTGTCGGCACCAGCGTCAACGTTAGTTCTGCCTCTATAGCCATATCCAACTCAAGACTACCGCCAATCACCGTGACAGCACCTATTGCGGCAGGTCCTGCGGCTGTATCTTTCGAGATGGCGACTAGGAGTGGAGACGACCTCACATCTTGCCTCGGCAACGCGAACACTGGCTTGGCCCTTGCCACATCCGAGATGGCTGTCTTTCCTCTGAACTCTACCCTACCTTCTATTTCCGCTGTATCACATGTGCCCTCGCAACTTGCCTCGGCAACCAGCACGAGTTCTGTAGACTCGGTAGTGGCCAGCATTCGATCCAGGGAATATTTGGTTAACAGTGGAGCTGGTTTGGGTGCGAATGGCTCTACTGCCCCTGACGGGAGATGTGGCAGTGGTTCTAGCATTATTGGGGAATTTTCTCAGGCCTACAGCTCCACCGGGCCAAAGCGGGACAAGAAATGTGCCTTCTGCGGCATCGCCTTCTCCAGTCTGGACACACTGACTGCACACATGACGCATTACTGCTCATCTCGACGCTTTCCGACCAACGGACTAGCATTACTCACCGGGGCTTCGGGAAAAACGGCTCTGTCTTCTGGGCAGTCTGGAAAAGGGACTCACAATCAACCGATCTCGGGAGTCACGACGACCAGTTTGCAGACATTGGCTCAGCTGGCTCCACAGTCTCCAAGCCAGTTGCACCCTGTACCTCCCCTGACTACAGCACAGCCCCTTGTCGGCATCTTGCGACAGCAACACCAGCAAATGGACCTGGAAGAGGTGAGCAGCAAACTGGCGGGCTTGCAGAAGCAGGTATCTGCAGATCAGACGTTGTCAGCTTTTGGTCCGAATCGATTGGAGCTGGGAGAACCAACCTGTTGTGACCGAACCTCCACATCTTCGAATTCAGCAAATGGTTAGTTGGCGGTCGCCATTAAATTAATTTCCATCTTTTGTGCAGTTGTCGTTTCGTGGTTTTATATGGAAATCTACTCACTTTCTTAATGTAATTCATACCATTAATAGTCCTGCGGACCTGACAAGTTCCTGTCCATCATGAACAAACTTTCGATGTATGACATTTTTCAAACTTTGCTCTTCAAGCACTTCGTCCACCTCGGAAATTCCTCATATCTAGGCAATGTGGACAACTTTGTTAGTACACGAAGAGTCAGTTGGTATAAAAGTTCAAAATGGAAAGATTCATCGGTCGATCTCATCAGAAGACGATAGCTGATTCCCTTTGTTCTGTAGCTATTTGGATTCAATAAGACGTTCAGATTGACTCAGTTCACGGACCCAGTCGTTTCGAATGCACACGGGCTAAGCTTTCGTCCGTAATGCCGCTGGACTCACATCCCCAGAGCTGGAACTCATTCTTATGAACGCCTTAACTTAAAGCTATTCTAGATGCTACAAATAATTCTAACTAAAAGCGTAAGTATATATAAAGATTTGGTTAGTTTTCATTTATTTTAATCAGGGTAATTAGACCTGAGTGTGTTCGTGTGCGTGTGCTAGCACCTGGTATTCAAGGTATAATCGCCCAGGGAAAAGCATGGCTGGCTTTGGGTAATTCCCGAAAGTAACCCAGGTAAGGAAACCATGACAGAAATAACCAAACCATTCTAAATATATATATTTTGGTTCTTAGTTATTATTATATATAATATGAAGGATAGAGCTTGGTGAGAATATGTTCCAGCCTTGAATATGTCCGTTATACGATGAAAGAAAGCTCAGCCCATTTTCATCCGAAAGGAAGGAAGATGGAATAAAGCTAAACATCTTATTCAAGCCAAACTTCTGCATAACAGCGGGAATGAGCTGTCGTTTTTAGGTGAGATCGACCTACGAATCTCTTCATCATGTACTTTAAAACGAAATGAAAGTCTCCAAATGACGTTTGTTATTAGCATGGCTCCAAATCAGCTGTTTAATTTACCTTTATTCCGTTACTAAATCACTTCAGTAAGCTAACTTTCATTTTGAGTGAACAAGTGCAGGAAAAATATTCGTGGATTCATCTCACCAGAAGGCAGTGACTCATTAGTTTTGATCCGCTGTCGTTGGCTTTACTGAAACGTTCTGGTTGATGCAGTCATCGAAACAATCTCATAGACAGCTCTTCACGTTTTTTCCGCAAACCAAGGAGATTGTCTCGGAAACAGTATCAACAAGAATGATCCAGTAGAGCCAATCGACAGCTGGTCAATATGCATCCACCGTCTTCCGGTGAGTTTGACCTTCTAATCTCTCACCTAACACTTTCACTCGAAATGGAAGTGAGCTCAAGAAAACGTGCTAAGCCCTTGTTTGTCGTGCCATTCATCGGACATTATCAGGGCCAGGTATAATTCCCTACAACTACTTAAAGCAAGAGCGTTAACAAGACTCAAGCTTTTTTCGTGATGTGTTAGATTGAAGTGATTGTAAGAATAATAGGTAGGTCTGGTTATGTCTGCTGAATAACATGAAGATCAAAGGCACATTTCTACCCAAATCGTAGTAGGTTGTCTAAAAAACTACCAAAATAAATCTGGATTCGCCTAAGTCTTTTGGTGAAATCAACCTATGAACCTTTTCATCAGCAAAAATAGCAAATCAAGAGATTAAGCGGAAAACCACATTTCCTCATTTGAACACTAGGTTACTTAAAGTGGTTAAAGTGTTGATAGTTGAGTTCTTCCTTACCTCCCAAAAGACAGCCTTATCCAGAGTTTCGACCCACCCACTCTCAACGGAATTCTATACCAGCTCATGAGTATCGCAGCGACGTTACCACTCTACCAGATGGCCATGCGGGCCAGTCGGTCACAGGGCAGATGTCACATTCAAGGCAAGCCAGACGTCTTCCAATCTCGTAGGCGAAGTCGAAACTGCAGGAAAGTCTATCCTGGGTGAGATAGCCTTTTGGGAGGTGAGGTTAAGTGAAATTCATTGAGTTCCTGAAGCCTCCTTATCTGATTGTGGGAAAACTCAATTATCATGCCCTAGAAGTGGTCTTACCTCGTTTTTGCTACTCTGCTAAATTAGTTAAAATACTTGGCAGCATTGGACCATCAACTTGGTACATTTCCACACATTTCATCGGCACTGCAGTCGGCATCTTCAATGAGTATTGCCATTCTTAGCACCAAACTACAAGTAGACAAGGAGACAAGTGAAGTCAATCCCTTGACAGCTGTCTTTTTGACAAGTTGTAGCTTCGTCCTAATGATGACAGGAATCGCTGACACTGCCGGTGAGACGTCTGGGAATGTGCCGAGTTTTCGCTTCAGCTTTGGGAATTATCATAACTACTATAGCAGAGGTCTTCGGACATGGCGCGTCCAACTATATCACCCTGACAACACAACAAAGTTGCAAAAACGAGGTCAATCCATTTCTTTACAGCGGAAGGAGCCTGTGGCCGTTGCATCTTGGTCTTGTTCTCAAACTTTATTAGGGGGACCTTCATTTCGAATGAAAGTACATGCAGAAGAGATCCGTTTGTCGATCTCACAAGATGAGGACGGATGAAAATCGTTGTACTTCAGCCGTTCAGCTTTTATATTATATTCATGTTGACGCAGTCCACGAGTCTTCCTCCCTCGTTTTCACCCGAAACATGAATATAATATAAAAGCTGAACGGCTGCAGTACAACGATTTTCATCCGTCCTCATCTGGTAAAATCGACAAACGAATCTATTCTTCATGTAATTTCATTCGAAATGAAGGTCCCCCTAACAATGTTATCTCAGGAGATTCATCGAAATCAAGTTTCTATTCGTATCTCAAACTTTAGTTCACCTTTAGTTTCATGGGGTAAATAAATTATTATTCCAGCATTAAGGATTGCCCCTAAGACTACGTTACCGAAAATTTTTTCGTGTATTTAATTTACTGTTGTCTGCTAGCGCAAACGCAACCTGAGCACATAGGTTGCCAATAGTATCTATCTGTTGGCTTTTCGTTGCACCAATTCTTGAGGCTTAAGTAAAATTTATAATTATGCCTCGAGGATTATATGAACGGAATGTAGAATGCACGCTCGTGCTCCATGAGCTTATACTTTTTAGTAATGGATGCAGTATTGCAAAAGCTCTCGACTACTCATATACAAAAGGTATATAAGCTCTATTTCGCTTAAGGTGATGAAGAACGGATAGCTGAGTTTTTCAATAATTATATGAGCATGTCTCATTTACCATTGAATTCGACATAGTATTGCCTTTCAAAAGGTATTCTCATCCAGGCAAAAGTGGACTGTATTTGATATTTTGCCTAGGTATCATCAGCTTTCACAGGGGGAATCGAACCCGGGTATTGCTGCTGTATACTTTCGACATGGTAACCACTAAGCCACACTGCCACGAGTGCTCATGGATCAGAGGCCATTCCTTTCCCATGTCACTTTCTGCGATGATGCAAAGTTGTATTTACTATAGCAATCGACTGCATTACTTTCGTTTATAAGTCGGTTTTCGAGACTACCAGTAGATCATGTATGTGAGATGTATTCACCCTATTTCGCTTAAGGTGGCTGTGTGAAATTTAATGGAAACGCAAGACCTGCCCATATCATTTTGAAAAAATTCAACTGCCATTCCTTCATCACCTTAAACGAAATAAGTTGACTACATTTCATAAATCTGAACTACTGGTAGTCTCTAAAAACCCACATAAACTAAAACTCAATAATTCATAGAAGTTGTCTGACCTCATTTTCGCAACTTGGCCGTATTGTCAAGGCGACCTAAAGGAACTCGTCTTGTCCGGAGTCCAGAGTATCCATGATAATTTGCAGAACTGGAATGGAAAAAATGACTAAAAATGCCGAGGTACACTGACGATATCGACTATGATTCCGGCGAGAAGTCTGGCAATATACCAAGTATCATGGACTCCGGACAAGCTGCGTCCCTCTAGGTCGTTCTGACAATACGGTCAAGTAACGGAAACGAGGTCACTTAAGTTGTATACAACGAAAGGAGACAGCGGCCAAACCAAAAGCCATACAATCTTGGTCTTCATATGTTAAATTACTCATGTCTTCTGGTGACTCGAGTTTACAAGCAATACCAACTATTTAGCCTTTCCTTCATTCCATTATTCACTCGCCGCAGTTCCTGTTGCAGCCAACAAATCGAATACACCTCCAAAACGTAGTCAGCTGATCGGTATGGTGGGAACTCGTAATTTTTCAGCCCGAAGTAGCCTCTCCGCCGTCTGTGGAGGTCAGCCTCTTGCCAACGGCTGCTTCTCTGGCCAGGCCTATCTCAGCGCCGGCTCTGATACACTTGCTTCAGCTGTTGCGGCCTCAGGCTCGCTAGCCGGCCTGCATGCTTCGGTGCATTCCACTCCGGCCACCGTCGCCTCTTCGGAGATTACCAGCTCGACCGTGTTGTCTCAGGTCCCTTCAGGAGGGACAGGCGGCTTTCTGTTAACCCACCCTTTGGGCAAGGCCAGTGGTGTAGGCACATCTGGAGCAACATGCGGTTCTGCGAATTCCGGAAGCCTCGCTCCGATGCTGCTCAGCGGTCCCAGCAGCTCA